CACGTGATCGGTAATACCTTGCTTTTATGTGTTGCTTCTGAGGACATGAGAAAAGAAATGTAAATTGTGATGAGAGAAGTGTTCAGCAGATGGGGACTCTGTGAACAGAGATTAAGCAAATAAAGAGGCAAGACTATCAGATACAGAGGGGAGGGTGTAGACAACTCTCCCCCCTCCAAGATCTCCAGGTCATCTCAGTTACTTTTTACAGCCTTTCCATGGGTGATAGATATTACAGATCTCCATTTTCAGAGCTGAAAAGAAAACAAGGCTGTATGTGGGCCAGCAGCTTGCCCGAGGTAACACCACGAGTAGGTGAAACCTGAGTAAAAGCAAATCTGTGTCCTTCTGACTTCAGAGCCTATGTCCTCTGTGCCACGTTGTCTCTCAGATGCAAAATATGTCTTGTGGCAGTTTCCTTTCTTTTATTAATTGTCCGTCAGTGTAGATTTGTCATTGTAGCCTTTGCCCCAAACAAAATAACCTCAGCCTGACAACTGGACCGGAGCAACGAGCTGGTTATATTAGCAGCCACATGTATACCTCTGCTCTGTATGGACTCTCTTCCCTTTGGAGCAGACTCAGGTTGGGGCAAAGATGGGCAGAGAGAAGAGGAACAAAATACCCATCTTTTCTGGCTTAAATGTAATAGCTGTATTGACGTACAGACACACACACTGGGAGAGACCGCTACCGAAAGATCCAGGGCCTTACTGAAGCACAAACCAAATCAGGCTGTGACTAAATCCACACTGACTTGTGACAACCACTAAACAGAACATATTAAAAGGGATACACAGAGGAGTGACTGGGTGGCTCAGTCCATTAAGTCTCTGACTCTTGATTTCAGCTCACGGCCATGGGATCGAGCCCCACATCGGGCCCCACATGGGACTCCATATCAGGCTCTGCATCAGGCTACATGTTGGGCTTGGAGCCTGCTTAAGATTCTCTTTCTCCGGCTTTCTCTGCCCCTCCCCACCTCAAAAAAAGAGGGGATCAGCACTCAAAACAAGGTCATTTCTTTCTAAAATAATATTAATCACAGTGTCTTGAAGTGCGACGGGGAGGAAAAACCACCTGGGGATCAGACATGACACCAGGTGATTTCCTACTGACCACGAGCCAATATATAGCCAGCACCACCAACCGCTGTCAACCAGTAACTCAGAGGAAGGAAACACAACAATAATACCATATGTTCATTGCATCTAATTCAAACTATAACTTCCTGGCAATACTTCCAAGCTAGTGTGCATTTCTCTTCCTAGAGCAGTGAGGGGGAGAAAAAGATAAATCGGAAATAGTTTCTACCTTAAGGAGCTTATAATTGGTAGGGCGGATAAGACATGGGCACACATAATGAAAACCAAAAGGTAAGAAAGTGATAGATGCTACTGGAGAAGGGCCAGTTACATGCTGAGGAGTCTCAGAAAGGAAGGAGTTTTACTCCTAACGTACAGGATTTTTAAAAAGTGCTTCATGGAGGAGGGGGCAGTTAGGCTGGCCGTTGGATAAGCAGGGTTTGGGGGTGGAGAAATTAGGGATGGAGGTGGGAAGGCAAAGAAGAGAGAAAGGCCTTCCGTCTGGCATTTATCATAACGTGACCAGAGGACCGCCTGCAACAGAATTTCAGGCAGTTGCATGTGAGGTACGTCTTGAGAAACCTGTAGGATTTCCACAGGCAGAGATGGACGGAAAAGGGTTTTCCAGAAAGAGGTGGTGTTCCCTCCTCCCAGATCTTGCTGTACACGTGCAGTTGTTACTCAGGCCGCCATTTTGTTCCCCCCAGTTCCTTACCATGAACCAGCTGTCACTCGTTCACCCCAAAGTTGGTTGCCATATGACTGGAATTAGATGCTCTGACCAGAGAGTGACATTTGTTACTTTTCTATTGCTTTCAGGTCTCAGACTTCTAACAGGTTCAATTTAAGTGCACTAAGCTCAAATGTAAACCATTGTTTGGGGCCGCCTCCAGTCACCTACATGGTCTTAGGAATGGCTTCTCAAAGCAGGGCGTATGGACCACCTGTCTCAGAGTGCACAGTGGGGCCTATATCTACAAGCACAATCCGGAACCCCACCCCAAAGCCATTGAATCAGAATCTCTGTAGTGGTTGTCTGGGGATCTGAAAGTTCTCCAGGTGATTCTGAAGCACACTGGAGTTGGAGAAATCTTGAGGGGGAGAGCGAAGGTACAAAGGGAAAAGAGCACAGGAACACTGTGAGTAGAACCTGAGGTACACAAATGGAAGAATGTGGGCCTCAAGGGTTTAGCCGAAGCTACAACATGGGTTGACATGTTTTCTACTGGCAACAGGCAGCCATTCTTTTCAGTGCCAGAGTGAAGAGGGTAAACCTGGAGCCAGACAGCCAGGACTCAAACCTTAGTTCCTTGACTCACTAGCTACATAACCTTGGACAAAGCTGTTAACCTCTCTCTGCCTCAGTTTCGTTATCCATAAAGTGGGGATACCGACCATCCTCACCACACAGCGTCCTCATGGGAGAAAATGAGTTCATATCAAGCATTTAGAACTGTGACTGGCATTTAGTAGGTACGATATGTGTCAACATAAATACTTTTTTTTTTTTAAGTAAGCTTTACACCCACCATGGGACTTGAACTCACGACCCCGAGAACAAGAGTCACATGCTCTACTGACTGAGCCAGCCAGATGCCCCGGCACAAATACTTTTGAGTAGAGGTGTGGTATGGTTAAGGTTAGGTTTCCGGAAGATTAACCTAGCAGTAATGTATAGGAGTCAACTGCCCATCCCCTATCAGTAAATCCTATAATTTTGTCCCTCTAACTCAGTGATTCTCAACCTTGGCTGTACATTAGAATCACTTCTCTTCCCCTCCACCCCCAGTCTGGACACAAATTTATCAAGGTAATTCTAATATAGACACACGGTCAAGAAGCAATGCTGTAAATATATTTCAAACTTGTCCATTTCTCATTATTGTGCCCGCACTGTATGCAAGACACTGTGCTAGGTCCTTTTCCTGCATTATTTAAACCTTACAACCCTTTGGGGGTCAGTGCTAACATTATCCTCCCTTTAAAGATTGTTAGAAAGGTCGAATGCATTGCTCAGGATTATCCAGCGAGAAAGTAGCAGGACTAGGATTAGAACCGTGGCAGCCTGGTTCCAGAGGCTCCAGTCTGAACCACTACTCTATATTGTGTCTCTAAACCAGGCATCTGCCCTCTCACACTAGACTCTCACTCTCCACTTGCCTTCTCCCTCTCCTCTACCCTTGCTTCGTTGCTTCCCTCTTATCTAGTCTGGACACAACAGCCAATGAGATCTTTTTAAGACATCAACTGGTTCATGTAATGCCCTGCTCACAACCTTCTGACGGCTTCCCAATGTACTTAAGAACTGAAATACAAACTCCTTCCCGTGGCCTTGAAAGTCCTGTGTGGTCCGACTCCTGTTCACTTCTTCAGCCTCATCTCAGGCCAGTTGACTATAATCACTGTATTCCAGCTACACTGGTCATCAGATCCTTGAATGCTTTGAGCTCTTCCTTGCTGGGGCCCTTGAATTTTCTTTTCTTTCTGCCTGGAATGCTCTTCCCCCAGGATCTCTGCATGGATGGGTCTTTTTCATCTTTCAAGTGAGAGCTTAAATGTCACCTCAGCAAGGCCTTCCCTCCCACTCAATGTAAATGCTATCCCCTCAGTCTTTTATTTGTTTTCCTCATGGCACTCACATATTTATATTTAGATTTTCACTTACTTGTTTGTTTATGATTTGTCTTCTATGGTAGAATGTGAGTTCCACAAGAGCAAAGAACAACCTTTGCTGCTATGTATGCTACATACAGTTGTAGAGGGTGTGTACTGCACAAAAGTGCTGCCGTTAAGGGGGTGCATTCGCAAACATTTTCTGGCAAATGGCAGTAAAGTGTCTTAAATAAAAGGATTCTTTTTAAAATTCGCATACAGATGCCATATAGTCTAGTGGTGCCCTGTATGTTCACTGTATTTACCAATATGTATCTAGCTTCTAGCACAGGGCTGAGCATATGGTAAGTAGATGCTCAATAAATATGTTGATTGGATGGACGGAAAGAAGACAAAATTAGAATACTGCTAGAGACAGCCAGAAAAGAGACAGATCAAAGATTGCTGATATAGTAATCTCAGAAGAGGGAATAAAGGAGAAATTAAAGGCGATTATGCTTGACCTTAGGAACCCAGAGTGGAAAATGGCGCTATTATCAAAGGAATGGAAACCAAATAAGAAAAAAATTGGGTTGAGAAGACACTGATGCCATTTGGGCTATAATTTGAGAAGACGATGCCTTCCAATGTGCTTTTACTGAGTTTGTCACCATTGGACGGTGGGGTTTTAGAGAATATATCTACATTTGCCCTGCACAGTCTTCAAAGTGGTCATGTCAATGCTTTGCAAGGCCCAATCTTCCTTTCAAGGCTGTGCATGGAAATGGCCTGTGTTTTACAACACAGTAAAAAGCTAGAAGAGATTAAGGGAGAAGAGACAGAGACACTTTCTCAGTAGATGATGCTCACTCTTTCTTTCCTGCCACACTCCCGCAGGGTTTCTTTCAGGTGGTTGCCCTTAAAATCAGTGTTTTTGGGGGGCCCCCGGGTGGTTCAGTCTGTTAAGCATTCAACTTCGGCTTAGGACATGATCTCACAGTTTGCGAGTTTGAGCCCCACGTCGGGCTCTGTGCTGACAGCTCGGAGCCTGGAGCCTGCTTTGGATTCTGTGTCTCCCTCTCTCTCTGCCCCTCCCACGCTCGCACTCTGTCTCTCTCTCCAAAGATAAATAAACATTAAAAAAAATTTTTTTTTTAAATCAGTGTTGTTTTTCTCCCTTTTGTGAATCAACTGCCCCCACCCCACCCCCTGGCTCTAAACTAAGGCTACCACAGAAAATTTCCCGTCCTAGGACGCTGGGAAGCTTTTTCCTCTCTTCCAAGTCCAGCAGCATCCCTACCTCTTGGGATACGGGGTACCTACCTCTGCACACCCGGCAGCAGGAATCCGGAACAGAGACTGGGAATGCACAGGTTAACTTGGGGCAAGTCTTGAGACCACAATACACGTTTCCCTCCTGCCAAGTAAAAACAGAACTTAAGGTCAGAAGGATCTGGGAATAAGTAAAGGCTTCTTAGCTTGGGACTCCTTCCCAGTGCCCTCGCATAGTTAGTTCTAGGTACTTCCGAGATTTGATCATGCTTTATTTTTTTTTTTCATGCTTACTATTTCTCCAGGCCAGAGACTAAGTCACGGAAGAGTTGGCAATCCTCGCTGGGGATCCCCTGAGGTGGTACAGGGTAGTCAGTGAGAGAGCTGCCGTAGCCCCGCCAAAGCCCTAAATATGGTCTCGCCCTTCTCTTCTCTTTGCATTGTATCCCTTGGTCCCCATTGTGCCCCAGCTGGACACTGGGACTTCAGGGAATGCAGATTTGCATGACAGCCCCCCTTCTTTATAAATCTCCAAGCCAGGGAGACAAATTGTCTCGGGGGCCAGGGGGGGAATGCAAAATTACATGGGCTGATCAGAATGGACAGCTCAATTCAGCACAAGGCAAGCGAGAGAACCAAACTTACTTGCTGTTAGCTCTGTCTTTACATAGATTCCACCTCCCTAAAGTTCTAGGTTCCAAACATCTTTCCTTACACCTTGTTCTTAATTCTTAGAAGCAATAATTCTGGGGCTAGAAGGCTCCCTAAAAAGTCATTAGGAAGGCAAGGCCACAACCAAATTCTCCCAAACTACTGAGATACCATATTTTTACTACAAGTCCCTAGGGGAAGAGATTCTCAAACGTCCCTTGGCAATCCAGTGTTTAAGGCCGTTACTGGCAATAAAAAGTTTCTACATCTAACTTCATTTCCTCTCACTTCAGGTTAAATGGCCATTTTATTCCATTTTCTGGTTCTACCTATTACATTCTCTGGATTGCACGATTACGTGAAGATATAATCGATTTACTTTACTCCTAGGGTATACACAGTTCTGACAAGTAATGCCACAGAAATAATCATGTTTTGCTGAGAGAGTTCTCAATGCACAGCACCAGGGACAAACTGGCTAGGAGAATACATCAGAGATGGGATCCAAGAGATACCCCTCTTTTCTTGTGAACTGGGGAACTAGGGTGGCTTAGTCGGTGGCATCCGACTTCGGCTCAGGTCATGATCTAACGGTTCGTGAGTTCGAGCCCCGCATAGGGCTCTGTGCTGACAGCTCGGAGCCTGGAGCCTGTTTTGGATTCTGTGTCTCCCTCTCTTTTCTTTCTCTGCCCCTTCCCCACTCGCTCGCGCGTGTGCGCACGCACGCTCCTTCTCTCTCTCTCTCTCTCAAAAGTAAATAAACATAAAAAAATCGTTGAGTCCTTCTAATGAAGGCTTTGCTGGTGTGACTATTAAGAAAAGGAGGACAAATGAAGACCGTCAGCTGATATTTGTCTATTTAAACAGTCCTAAAGCTTCAAGACCAGCATATAACTGGGTCTGACTTTAACATAGGTCAGGGTTGTTCAGGGTTGATGCAGATCAGGGAGTAGATCAACAGGGAGGCTTAGGATTCAAATGCAATTCATCTTCCATTCAAACACCTCACGGTGTAGGCTCAAAGTAAAGGTGTAAGCACAGAGAAAGCTCTGGTGTTGGGGTAGGGGCCAGCAGGGACACTAAAATGCTGGGTCTTACCGAACAGCTGCACTGGGTGCATTGATTGGGTTGCCGGTTCTGAAAGAGCCCTTCAGCCATGAACAGCTCACCATGTTGGTAAGTGGTCCCATTGTACTCACATGACTTGCTGGTCACCTTGTTGTTCGCTGGGGGTAAGGAGTCTTCTGGGACAGGGTGGAGAAAAACCACACCGAGTATTAGCATCATTGCAAAGAATGTCATAAATCCCAACAGCAGACAGGGCTGTACCATATAGAGGGAGTTAAAAGATAGCCCCAGGGTGCCTGGGTGGCTCAGTCGGTTAAGCGTCCAACTTCAGCTCAGGTCGTGATCTCACGGCTGGTGGGTTCAAGCCCTGCGTCGGGCTCTGTGCTGACAGCTCGGAGCCTGGAGCTTGCTTCGGATTCTGTGTCTCCCTCTCTCTCTGCCCCTCCCCCGCTCATGCTCTGTCTCTCTCTCTCTCTCAAAAATAAATAAACATTAAAAGAATTTTACACAGTTTCTAATTCAGTGGCCGATGACTTTAGATAATATTAAAGTGACCAGACAAGAACAGCAACTGATATGATCACCCATCTGTTCTTTTATTTGGTGAGCATTTATTGAGCACCTATGATGTGCCAGGCACTAGAATGGGTACTAGAGAGAAATCAGAGAAGGACAACACTCCTGCCTTGAGGGAGCTAACAGACCAGATGAATAACGTGTTAACTTGCCTGGAAGGAGGGAGTCCTTTCAGAAGACGAACCATCTATTATAACTACCCTGGTAACTTTACCCCCTCCCATGTTTTATATCACTTGGTATGTGCTTGTATGTTTGTTCTGGCCCCTGGGGTCCTTGCTTGTTTTTTTTTATTGAAGTATGGTTACCACACGAAGTCTTTGCTTATTTTTAATTCCATCACCAAGATCTCCCCCCTCCTCCCACTCTTTTCCACCTGCTGAAGTCCTGTTCGATTTTGAAGTCTCAGGAAAAGTCCCTTTTCTTCTGCAAAGCATTCTCCAATAGCTCCAGCCCACGGTCTGGACCTCTCAAGACATGTGATTTCTGAAGCACACAGTCTGGGACTTGAATATTACTGTATCTCATATTCCTGAATTATAGTCATCTAGCCAACAATTTACGAAGTGATTTCACACAGATTATTACACCGGAGCCTCATAACAACCCTATCAATCAAGGAAGGCAGATCTTGAACTTCATTTTTCATTTGAGGGTAACAAACCTCTGAGGTGGACTTTTCTGAAGTCACGAATGTAGTGAGTGATGGCCCCAAATTCCATCTTCTTTCTATCAGCTTATGTACACATATGCATGTTTTGCTTTTTAAGGACTTGGACGCTGCCTTACGTGTCTCTTTCCTTTGTGGGGTCTAGTGCAGGGTTCCCATGTAGCAAAAACTCAATGCACCAATGCACTTGGTGAGTGGACTCTAAATGGCCTCAAAAAGTCTTTTTACTGGGCTTCCTTAGGATGCATGGTGTGTGTGTGCATGCACGCACACACCCGCCCCCCCCCACGCACACACACCAAACAACCCAGATGAAGCTAATCATTGATGTACAAATTAACAATAGATATAAAAAGAGCTGGGAAAGTGCCCTCTGTAGAATAGTGGAAGAAGAGTAGTCAGAGGAGTTGTGTGTTTTGTTAAGGGAAGGCTCAGACAGTGAAAGCGTCCTTTCCTTCCCATCAGTCAAAGATATACTGAAGGTGCGCCTGGGTGGCTCAGTTGGTTGGGCGTCCAATTCTTGATTTTCGGCTCAGGTCATGATCTCACGGTTCCTGAGTTTGAGCGCCATGTCGGGCTCTGTGCTGACAGTCCAGAGCCTGCTTGGGATTCTCTCTCTCTCTCTCTCTCTCTCTCTCTGCCCCTTTCCTGCTCATGCTCTCGCTCTCTCTCAAAATAAATAAATAAAACTTTTAAAAATAGAAAAAAAGGTATAATGAAATTGAGTCCATCTTATGGGTCAATTATACCTCAGTATGACTGTTTTAAAAAAAAAAACAGAATAGATGAATCACTAAATTCTACTCCTGAACCCAATATTTTCCTATATGTTAACTAACTAGAATTTAAATAAAAACTTGAAACAAAATAAAACAAAACAGAATAAAATTGTCCTCAGGATGTTGGTGAAAATAATAAAGGTGAATGGTAATAATAATAATAATAATAATAATAATAATAATAATACAGCTAACATTTATTGAGCCCTAATTAATATGCCAGGCACAATGGTGAGTGCTTTTCCATGCATTTTCTCCTTGGCTTTTACTTATTTTGCTGATGGGGAAACTAAGGTTTAAGAAATTAAATGACTTGCCCCAGGTCACACAACTTGTGAGTGGCAGCACCAAAATCTGAACTGATGTCTGATTCTAGAATCATCCGTCCTTGCCACTATCAAGGAGGCTATCAATCACATCAACCCTGGAACAAGGAAGGGGCCATTCGATTTAAAAACCAAAATCAATGGAACATGAAGGTTATGTTGTTCCTTTACAATGTTTTGGCCTAGAATATCTAGAAAACTGATATCACACTTACTTTGGCTTCAGTGATTTCTATAACTAACTCAATTCTATACTTTGCTATATAAACTGATCTAGCTTCAATTTCTGAGTAACTTACTCCTTGGGTGTGAACTGCTTATTAATGACCCCTTACAGGATGCAAAAGAAGTTCCTTAAAAAGAAGCCTCAGCTCCTAGAAAATGTTTATTTCTTACCAGCAGACCCTAAGTCCTGGCCCCTGCCCACAACGGGACACAACCAGACAGATTTAGCTGGTAGACAGGAATGAAACTCACTGGAGAAAGGACAGGAGCAGGGCCCACTCACCCCCCTGGGCTCTAATTACACCAAATATCTGTACTTTGTGGCGAAGGAAAACTAGGATGACCTACAAAATAATATCTACCGTGACTCTTACAGGAGTTGACAGATCTTTGGAATACCAAAAGAAGAAAAAGTGGGTTGGAATTATTTTGCCTCAGAAGAATGTGGATTGATCTTTGAATTGGGCCTTCTACCAAGGGATCAACGGGGGGGGGGGGGGGGGGGGGGGCAAGTGCAGGGTGAGGTTTTCCAGGGGAAGCATGACCTTGAGAGTCTTTCTTGCAATAGTCTGCATAGCGGCCTGGCATGGAGTCTATTAATCTGCTCAACAGGAGACGGGGAGAAAGCAAAAGACAGAAAGACAAAACAGAATCAAAGAAAAAGAAACCAACTATGAGCAAGTTAATGCTAGGTTTACACAATAAATTTATCTTAATAGCTTTCCATTTATTCTTATTTCATTCTTTTAATATCCTTAATGGAGTGGTGGTGGGGGCATTATGAAAGTGAGGCTACTGGTACCCCAAAAGATTTGGCCCATGCCACACAGCTATCTAATAGGAAGCCCAACTCAGACATACAGTTTTCCTGTCTCGAAGTATGTTTTTCTTTACACAGAGTGGGTGTTAAAACTGGCTGGCAGGAAAGAAATTAAATCAGTACATGCAAGAGATATCTGTGCTCTCGTGTTTATTGCAGTGCTATTCACAATAGCCAAGATATGGAAACAGCCTAAGTGTCGGTCAACCGAGGAATGGAAAAAGAAACCATGGTATATATACACAACAGAGTATTATTCAACCTTAAAAAAGAGATCTTGCCATTTGCAACAATACTGGATGGACCTGGAGGACAGTATGCTAGGTGACATAAGTCAGATACAGAGGTAA